CGTAACCTTGATATCGTATTGACGGTAGACAAGCACAAGCATGTGCTCATGACCCCCTATCCTCTTGAGCCGACTGATGAGTCCACTCAAGAGGAGTGAGACGTATGCACTTCTTGGATGCGTTCCGATGAGATCGCTAGGTGCTATATTTTAGCATCAATTAGCAATGGGTTGCAACAGCAACATCAGAACATGCTGACGGCTACAGATATGATCTACAGCATTGCTGAAATGTTCGGCAGCCAAGGCCGTCAAGCCAAGCAAACTGCGGTGCGTAACTTCATGAACTGCCAGATGAAATCTGGCACTCTTGTTCAGGACCATATGCTATTGATCATAAGTCACCTGAATGAGATGGAGCTCATGGGAGCTGAAATAGATGGGGAAACTCAGGTGGATATGATCCTAGAGACTCTCCTGGAGATGTTCGACAACTTTAAACTCAACTATTCGATGAACAAGTTGAACTATTCACTCCCAGAACTCATGAAGGAGCTTCAGACTGTGGAAACCCTACTGCTTAAAGGAAAAAAGAGGAATGGAGAGGCAAACCTTGCTGAAGCAAAGCCTTCCACCTCTGGCGCCAAGAAACAGAAGAAAGTCCGCAACAAGAAGAAACCGGCTGGAACAAATGCCCCCTTGGCAGATTAGCTAGCCACTGGAAGTGCAACTGTCCTACTTACCCCAAGGAGGTTAAAGCTAAAGGTACATTACTTGTTACCGAAGCCTGTTTTGTGGCTGACTCTACTTTTTCTTGGATTGTAGACTCTGGAGCCACTAATCATGTTTGTTGTTCTCTGCAGGGGTTCAGGGAAAGCAAAAGGCTTAGCAAGGGCGAGTTTAACTTTCGCTGGGGGAACGGAGCATCAGTATCAGCAACATCAGTTGGAAGTATTAAATTAGTTTTTGAGAATAGTTTCATTATTTTGAACAATGTTTATTATGTCCCAGTTTTTGGGAAAAACCTTATTTCTGTAGCTCGTTTGGTTGAGCAAGGATATTCTTTAGGATTTAATAATGATGTTATTCAAATTCTTAAGAATGGTTTCATGATTACTTCTACAGTCATGATAAACAATCTGTTCTACGTCAAACCAATTATCCCAATGATTTATGATACTGAATTGAATAATGATTCAATTAGGGATAGTAAAAGATTGAGGTTAGACCCAACAGATCAAACCTATAAATGGCATCTACGTCTTGGACATATTAGCCTTGACAGGATCAAAAGGTTGGTAAGAGACGGTCCCTTACAAACCTTAAGTGTAGGCGCACTACCTACATGTGAATCCTGCATAGAAGGAAAAATGACCAAGAGACCCTTTTCAGCAAAGGGTAATAGAGCTGATGAATGCCTAGAACTCATACATAGTGATGTATGTGGGCCATTTAATATCCAAGCAAGAGGAGGATATGAATATTTCATAACCTTCACAGATGACTATTCTCGTTTTGGTCATATTTATCTAATGCGTCAAAAGTCTGAAACCTTTGAAAAGTTCAAAGAATTCAAGGCATTGGTTGAAAAACAATTAGACAAACAGATCAAAACACTACGATCTGATCGTGGTGGTGAATACTTGCTAGGAGAGTTCGAAGACTTTCTTAAGGAAAAAGGCATATTTTCTCAACTGACTGCGCCAGGTACTCCACAGCAGAATGGCGTGTCAGAAAGAAGGAACCGAACTCTATTAGATATGGTTAGATCAATGATGAGTTACTCATCCCTTCCAGATTCCTTTTGGGGATATGCTTTGGAAACAGCAGCATATATTCTGAACCAAGTTCCATCTAAAGCAGTGCCTGGAACTCCATATGAAAGATGGAGTGGCAAGAAGTCATCTCTTGGCCACACCAGAATATGGGGTTGCCTAGCACATGTGCTTAGAAAGAAGACTGGTAAGCTAGCCAGTCGTTCAGAATTATGCCTGTTTGTAGGATATCCTAAAGGGACAAAAGGCTACATCTTCTATAGTCCTACTGATCAGAAAACATTCGTTAGCACGAATGCTCATTTTCTGAAAGAGGATTTTATGAAGAATATGAAGCCTAGAAGCAGGCTTGTACTTAAGGAATTAACTGGTGAAAATGTTCAGGGTTCAGGGTTCGGTATTCAGGATTCAGGATTCGGGGTTTGGGGTTCGGGGTTCACGGTTCATGGTTCGAGGTTCAGGGTGCAGGGTTCAGGGTTCAGGGCTCATGTCTCAGGGTTTTGGGTTTGGGGTTTGGGGTTTAAGGTTCACGGTTCAGGGTTTAGGGTTCTGGGTTCCGAGTTCAGGGTTCTGGGTTTAGGGTTTGGGGTTTGGGGTTTACGTTTCATGGTTTGGGTTTGGGGTTTGGGGTTTAAGGTTCACGGTTCAGGGTTTAGGGTTCTGGGTTCCGAGTTCAGGGTTCTGGGTTTAGGGTTTGGGGTTTGGGGTTTACGTTTCATGGTTTAGGGTTCAGGGTTCAGGGTTCAGGGCTCAGGGCTTAGGGCTCAGGGCTCAGGGCTTGGGGCTCGGGGCTCAGGGTTCGGTGATCGGGGTTCGGTGTTCGGGGTTAATGTTCCGGGTTCGGGCTTCAGGGTTCGGGGTTCGGGGTTCGTGGTTCTGGGTTTGGGGTTTAAGGTTTGGGGTTTAGGGTTTGGGGTTTAGTGTTTGGGGTTTGG